TTCTTCAGTAAGGTCAGAAACGTCGGCGCATCTTCCTTGGAGTGCGAAACGATTGAGCGGCAGCGTCGGCGCCGTCGCGAGTTAATGAATCGAGCCTTAAATGTAAGTAGAGCCGCTTGTATATCGCTCGTTCTGGGCGTTGTCATCACGCTATTCGGATACGTGGCGTATATGACGGGCGCCCTTCACCAAGACCACGAAATCCTCATGAGGCTTAGCAGTGTCGTTGCCCAGATTCCTCTTGGGCCGCCCGCGCTTCTCAACGGGGATTTCGAACAAGACTCGGCCTCAGCTGTGAAGGTCCCACGCTGTTTCGAATATGTGTCCGAAATGACAGGTTGGACAGTCCATCGTCCTCAGAAGCCGCTGCTCATCAGGTCTGGATGCTCCGCTTGGGGAGACACTGAAGCTGCGGCGGGTTTCTTTCTCGTTGGGCTGCAGCAGCGAGGTTGCGCAATTTCTCAGATGGCGGATGCCCACTTCCCAGGCGCAAGTTACCAACTCCAGTTTTACGTTGCATGCCGACATCCCGATCCGTTATTGACCGATCCGTCCGGTGTATCCAGTGGCGCTGTCGCGTGTATTCGCCACCCCGCTTCGGGGGTGGGGTAACGAGTGGGTTCGAGGGGAGAGCAGGGTGCTTGAGGGGAGGGCACGGCGTGAAATGTCTCATCAGACACGTTGATCTTTGTGGGGTGCACGGGGCATCAATTCGACGCATGTGTGGTTCGATGCTTCGTATGCCCTTGCTTCTGCTCTTCGAGCAACGAAGCAACGTGCTGAGCTCGGCGCGACCGCAACGTTTTCGTTCTCGTGATCGGGATGCAGTGGTACGCAGTTGAATTCTAGTGCTGCGTAACAGCTAAGCGGTGCGTATCTTGTTACCGTCTTAACGCATCACGTCCTATCGTATCCATGCGTTGCGTGAAACGGCATGCCTCGCATCTTGTAGCATTGCATAGCATGTCGTATACATTGTTGTTACGTTGTAGTGCTGTGAAGCGTCGCACGTCATGGCATGCCACAGTTAGGTACAGCGTTGTACAGCATAGCGCAACATGGCGTAGCACAACACATGTCATGGCACTGTTGGGCAGCACATTCTGGCACAGCATATCATGCAGTTGCAGCTTATAACATGGCGTATCAGAACCTGTATGACCGTACGACGCGATCGCGACGGACCAGTGCATAGCAGTGCAGTGCAGAATGCAGCTTTGCACGCAGTAGCAACACATATGATGGCAGAATCTACCATGGCAGGATGCCGCATTGTGTCGCGGTGCATCGCATCGTTTTGCATTGCAGTGCTTTGTCTTGCATTGCGCATCAAGGTCTGGAATCGTCCGAGTGGAGCTGATGCCATAGCATTGCATAGCGCAGCGTATCCCAGGTTCGCAGTTCACTACATAGCTCGCCACATCACTGCATACCATATTCGGCACGCGTGGCATAGCGAAACGTAGCATAGCATGGCCTGGTAGTGCATCGTCCATCAGAACATAAAACACAGCAAGGTAAGGCAGAGCAATAGCGAAGGCACAACGAAGCAAGACGAAGCAAACCAAGCACATCAAATGGAACCAAATCAAACCACGCACAGGCAGGGCAGAGCGGCGCAATCGCGAGGAACCCTTGGGGAACCCCAGGGAGGTGCCGTGCAACCCTGGGTTACCTCCCCGAGCAAGCTTGGGGGACACAGCGGGGCAGCACCCAATCGTCCCTGGCCATTTCGTGTAAACCACGAGTCGGACTCCCTGGGCAGAGCCAGGCTTGGGGGGGGGGGGGGCGGGGCGGTTGATGGCGTCCAGCATTGCTCCTGGCCAGCAGACATGGGGAGAAAAGGGGGGAGGAAGTTGTCAGTTTTAATCCCTGGAGGGGTCCAAGGACCGATTTCAAGCGGATTTGCCTTCGTCCCCCTTTGACAGATTGTTGCAGGCCCCATCCAGCGCAGACCCCTCGGCCGCTTCCACCACTCACGTGTCGGTGGCGCATTTCTGCACAGCAGTCCACTGCAATACACTGCACATGTCGGTGGCGGATTTCTTAAGGTCGCGGCGGATGGTAAGGAGTTGGGCAGATTTTTGGTGTCGTCCCCAGCCTTCAGCATGTATGTGGCTTTGTACAGCGCGTCTTCCAGATTCGTGAACATCAGCTTTGAGCATGCAGGCCCCGAGCCCGGTTCTGTGGGCCATGCCTTGTTCATTGACGACATCCAGGTCAGAGCGTTGCGCCCCCTTGTTGACAGCAAACCTTTTGCTGGAGCGTCTTAGTATCTTGCTGGATCATCTCGTGGCGCCCGCGGAAGCACCAGGAGATTTCCAGGCGCTATCTGTTCCGGACTCGAGCAGGGTGGGAGGCGGCATCGATCAGAAGATTTGGATCGGGTGCTGCTAGAAGTACCCCTGGCCCAAGGTACCCCCAAGGTTCTCGGGGTGGCCCAGCGGCCTCCGAGGCCCCAGATCCCGGTTCCCCGGGCTCCCGGGCTCCCGGGCCCAGGCTTCGGGCCCCGGGCCCCGGGCCTCGAGCTCCAGGCCGCAGGGCCCCCGGGCCCCGGGCCCCGGGCCTCGAGCTCCGGGCCGCAGGGCCGCCGAGCCCCGGGCCTCGAGCTCCGGGCCCCGGGGCCCCGGGCCCCGCCCGGGCCCCGGCGACTATGCCCCTCTACTTCTGAACTGCCGGCGTGCGATGCCCTCCACCGGGTGTGGCCGCGCGTCACAGTCATATGCGTTCGCCCGCAGCATGCGGCCTTCTTCCCCCGGGTGGCGTTAGCGCGCGCCCAGTGCAGCCCGGCCCCTTCGAATCGCGGGCGGTTTGCGACTCTCGTGCCGATTTCCTTGTCGCAGGTAGTCTCATGTTGCACTCCTTCTATGTTTCATCTGGACTTGGTTTTTCTTCTAAAGAAGCCCTTGCCGTATTTTGTGTTACATGGTGGTTTGTTTGTTAGATGTGCAGTTCTGCACTTTGGATGTTGCCAAGCCTAAAACACGACGTTTTGTTTCCGTTTTCGGGGAGTTTTTTTTTGTTTGCGTTTCTTGGCCTGTCGTTGTGGATCATTCTTTTTGGGCAACGTGGTTTGCTCCCTGGTCGTCGGTTGGCTCTTGCTCCCCCCGTCGTCTTCACTCCCACAGTTCGTTTCTGCCGCTGTTCTCCCTCGCGGAGCCTGCGAGGCGGGAATTTATCCATGTCCACCGCCTGGGAACCGACGTCCTGGTGCCCCAGCGGGCGGTGGATATGGATATATTTCGGCCCCCGTGGGCCAGAATATGTCCATATCCACCGCCTGCTGAGGCTCCGAACACTGACCCTCCAGGCGGTGGATATGGATCAATTCCCGCCTTAGAGGAGCCCAGCTCGCGAAACACGAGTTCCAACGCCGGTCGCACTGGCCCGAGGATGGCCAGGAGGCCCGCTAGGTCCGAGAGGGGCAGGGGGCCGTGGGGCCCGGAGGCCCGGGCGCTCGTGGGCGGCCCTGGGGACGGCGGGCAGGCGGACGGAGGCAGCTCCTCCTCCTCCTCCTCCTTCTCCTCCTCCTCCTCCTTCTCCTCCTCCTCCTCCTCCTCCTCCTCAAGCCCATGATGGCACAGGCACACGGCTGACCAGGGCTGGTCTGGCCTCGGTATCGAAACTTCGTTTCGACCCGTCTCGCCTTCGCGATCGGATGGGTGTCGGTGTGGTTGTTCTCATGTCGACACTTCTTCGGATCCTGGGCTACAACCCCATGTGTGCCACGGGAGATCGCCTCCTGGAAATACTGGAGGAGACTCGCAATTTCGACATCTTGCTCCTTGCAGGGACGAGGGGAGGGATTCCGTTGCGCGGCGCCCAGGCGCTGCGGGGGCGGCGCGGCGGCAGGTTGGCCTTCGAGGCCCCCCACCAGGCCACGGCCCCTCTCTCCACCCCTCACTGTGGAATCCTGATAGCGTTGGGCCCCCACTACGTCGAGAATGATATAAAGAGAATCTGGGGGGAGCCCTGCAGATGCTGCTGGCCGTGCACTCGCTGTCCGAGTCAAACACGGGCCCGCCGACTTCTGCGCTATCTATGTATTTCCCGCCCATACCTGCTAAAGGAAGTAAGGCCGCTCGTACTGCGTATTATAAGACAGTGTCGGTCCTGATAGAGTGGCTGGACTCGGTGATCTGTGACTTACCCGCCCGCTGCGTTCCTTTCCTCTACTCGGATGTAAATGATGGGATGGGAGGAAGGTTCAGGCAGGGAATGTATGAGAAATACCAACGGGCGTGGTGAATGCTGACACGCTCGAGCGTCTTCCTGGTGGGGCGGGTGAGCGACTCCGTGGGCTGCTAGAGAAACACCATATGATCGCGGGGAATGCACAACAGAGGGCCGAGCACACTTTTTTCGGGAATACTTCTTCGAGCTGCATCGATTTCGTCTGTTATCCACAAAGGTTAGCACATCTTACTCGGCATTGCCATCCATTACGTCGACTAGGAGCTAATTTGCAGCCTATCAGGGGAGCCCCTCCTCGGGATCATCTGCCTGTGGTGCTCAGTATGGAGTTCAATAAAGGTGGATTGATTCGTCCTGCTGATGATAGGATCCGTTGGAATTATGATGGCATGATGGAGGGGCTCAGATCAGGGAGGGGGAGATGGGAATTTATAAAGACCGTCAATGAGGAGCTGGTGGGGGCAGGAGTCCGTTATCTTCGTGACTACGCCTCCCCAGACGAGATATTTGAGATTTTGGAGGGAGCCTTGGTTCGGGCGGGGCAGGCGCACTTCTCGGGGGACACTCAGAGACGAGCAGGGTATGGGGAGGACTGTGAGCGCCGCCGAAACCTGCTTCGTCATCGTGTCGAGCTACGAGGTCGAAAGGAGGAGGGGGACGAGGAGGGGGCCGAGGCGATCGATGCTCAGCTGAAGGCCCTCTCAGCCCAGCTCCACAAGGAACGTCGGCAACACCTGCGTCAGTTTCGTGCCAGATTGCTCCAGGAAGCCAGTGAATGTTTGGCCAGGAGGCGTGCCGCGGAGGCGATGAAAGCCTCCCGTCGTGCTGCTCGTTGTCGGTATGGGCCGAAACGTCGAGATGCACGATTGGCCACCGGTGCGCCCCCAGATGCTGACGACTGGCTCCACGTGTGCCAGAAACCTGGCAGCGAGGGCGGCACGCAGGTTGAACCGATCGTCTGGGAGGAGTGGAGAGCTGAGAGGGAGGGCGAGACGTACGATTACGAGATCGACGACCCCGAGCTTACCTCCTTAGTTAAGACTGATGTCCAGAACCTTCGTTCTTATTTTAGGGACGCGCCCAAGAGGCGTGTGGTCCCAGAGGGCACTGCCCCTCTCGAACTCTGGCATATGTGTCTCTTTCCTCGGTGGCGAATGCAGCAGGAAATAGGCGTGGGCGCGAGCGAGGGCCCCCCCGACAACAAGACCCGGTGGTTCCTCTTGCACGTTGGACTCTTGAAGATTCGACGGCATAGCATCACCCCCCTGTACTGGCACCGCAGTCAGGCCGCGGCGCTCCCGAAGTCATTGATGGTGGGCCCCCTGGGCAAGCGTGTCGTGCATGTGCTCCCGACGATAAGGGGAAGGATATTATTCGAAGCAGTTGCGACCAACGCCCTCTATCCAGGACCGCGGGTTTGTGCGGGGTCGACGACGTGAGAACGCAGTACTTACATCTAATTGTACGATGTGGCGTTTACGAGCGGCGTCAAGAACTCATTGTGTATGTATGAAAGACATGTCGAATGCATTTGCGAGTGGCACGCACGAGGCGATGGACACTACCGTAGGTATACATTGTGCGGACCACGATGTTGCAGTATGTCGTCAGCGCTATCGGAACTCAGTGATTGCACTCCCGACGAGCGGGGCCCGATGCACAGTTCAGCCGAAGCAAGGGGGGGCGATGGGTGATCCCTACATTGTCGCCATGTTTCTGGCCACGTTCTCGAGGCCGATCCTGGGATGGGGGCGAGAGCTCTGGAGTCGGGGCCCAAGTGCTAAGGATCTTACCGCACAGTGGGGCGACATCAGGGCAGACCTCTCGTTGATTAAGTGCGCTGACGACTTGAATATGGTTATCTTAGCAGATTTTGGGACTTCACTGGAGGGGTTTCTTGGGGAGATCAGATTATCGGACGAGATCTTGAATGAAAAGTTAGCTCTCTTCGGGCTCGGTCAGAACATGTCTAATCAACAGTTGCTTTTCCACTTCTCGAGGTTGTCGCATACGTGTAAGAAGATACTTCGGGGCCATCCTCGGCTTGCGGAGGGCACTCCCAAGGATGAGGCTCGGTACCCGGGCCCGTTCCTCGTGCAGCGTGAGTCTGCCGCTCATGAGATCGGGGAGCGCCTCGTCGCTGCCAGGGGCATTTTTCACAGCCTGGGGGGTCTCTGGTCCTTGCCGTTACCATATAAGTGGAAGCGGGTGCTGTTGCTTGGATTCTCTCAGAACGCTATCTTAAGTGGACTGGATTCCTTTGCGTTATCTAAGGTGGATTATCGTCGTCTGGATTGTGGGCTAGCTGCTATGGGACGGATAGCTATGAGGGGCAAGGCATCGGAGAAGGAGGTGGTGAACGGGGAGGAGAAGGTGAGGAGCATGAGTAATAAGCAGGTCCTGAACTACTGGAAGGTGGCACCGAGTGAGGTCGAGATGGCAGTCCGCCGCTTGGGCATGTACCAAGGTTGGGCAAAGGACCCCGAGAGCAGTGGCCAAGTGCTGTGCAGCCTGTTTGGGGAGATGCCCGCGGGCGCTCATCGACCTCAGTTGGTGAGTGGTCCGCCGTCTGCCTTTTCCTCCCCCTATATCAGACAAGTACATCGTGATGTAGGATGGGCGTCTGGAATCCTGGATGAAGAGTTTCTGGATGAACTGTGCCGTGACCTCCGTCTTCTCGGGGATCGAGGGTTGGCCGAAACGTTTTCGCTGAATGCGATTTTTCGGTACTCAGAGCACGTGGGCATTCGGTGGCGATCCTTCCTCCTGCGCCGACGCGTCATAGCGCCGAGACGTCGGCGGGGGCCTCGGGTATCCACGATTCGACAGCAGTGGCCGTGGATGGGAGCGCCGAGCACGCCACTGACCCTATGTTCGTGTGTGAGCTCGAGGTTGAAGGCCAGAGGTGTAAAATGGAATTTTCCAACCGACGGGACTACATGAATCATCTTCGTCAAGTTCACCACGTCAGAAATCTTGCACATACACTCACAGTCAGCAACATATGTATTCACTGCAGACAGGTGTTTGCAAATACCTCTAACGCGGGACGGCATCTTCAAGGGTCTATTTCTCGGGGGTATTGTATTACCCGTGGGCCAGCTACTATGAAAACTGTTGCTGAAATTCTACGCTCGTTTACATGTCCGTGCTGTGATTATAAGGGCTCGAGTCTTTCAGGCTTGTGTGACCATCTCTGCAGCCGCCTGCCCATTGAGATCGCCCCGTTCACCCCGTCCTCCGTGGGGTTCCCCCTCAGAGCTGATGGGGGAGTTGAGCTCCCCCTCGTGGCCCACGATGCCGAAACGGAAGGAGGGGGCCGAGGGGGGGGGGGGGGGCGCCACAGTCGAACAGGCCCAAGCCGAACGGAAGCCCAAGCATTTCAAGCAGTCGTCCCAGGGAGACACAGCACCCCGCATGCTCGTAAATACGATGGCCCGCCTCGTGCTCGGCGACAGTCCGGAGATCGCCGCCATGGCGGCATGCGTCTTCCTCAAAGTCGAACTCCTGATGGGCAGCGGTCTCGCTGCGGCTTGCCTCAAGGCAGGGAAACCATGCGACGACGATTCGAGGGCCCTCAAGGAGCGCGCGAAGGAGGGAGGGGACGAGGCCGGGCGCGCCACCAGGGAGGATATGCTCGCGAGAGGTCCGCCCCACTTGCACATTCTTGTCGCCGCCGCAGCCTGCGGCGCCACCCGCAGGCCAGCAGCAGGAGCAGGCGAGGAGCAGGAGCGCAAACTGATCTCGGAGTTCAGGGATCTCAGGGAGAGCAAGATAAATAATATCGGCATGAACGAGTTGTCTCGGTCGCGCGGGATGTTTCGGATCAAAACCGTGAAGAAAATCGAGGGGGGGCCGCAGAAAGCCATCATCAGGTTCTCGTTCCACAGGGAGATGGAGGTGGGTCGTCGTCTAGCGGACTTCGAGCGTCTTATGAAGATGGAGGGGGGGGGGGGGGGCGGCTCCTAGCGGGAGCGGTTCCCAGAGGCCCACTCGAGAGAGAGATTTCCAGATTCCTAGCCAACAGAGAGTCGTGAGAGCCTTTCAGAATTCTGATCGTTTCCGAGAGCTGGTCTCTCGCGGAGTAGTGAGGGAAGATATCCTAGATAGCATGCGCAATAAGGTGGATGTATATAGTCACCCAGCACTCCCAGTCACTCCAGTGATTGTGATGTCACCGCCAACGCCTGCTGCTGTGGGAGGGGGGCGGGGTCGCGGTCGGGGTGGTGGGGGTCGTGGGCCGCGGGGTCGTGGAGCGGGAAGGGGGAGACTCGAACCGCGCGCCTTAGAGCCAGCCCCCTGAGTGCGGTCGCGTGCCGCCTGGGGTTGCTGGCCAGGGCCAGTGCTGCCTAGTGCAGAGCGCGGCAGCCATCCATATCATCGTGTAATGGCGGAGGCTCGCAGGCCTCTTCTCTGAAGTCTTCCGTGCAGCAGTTGTCATGATTTTCTTGCGATTTCATGTTGCAGTCAGAGTTGCTGTTGCTTTGGAATCCAGGCTTCCATGAGTTCCAGTCCAGTTCAGTCCTCCTCCTCGTCCTCCTCCTCCTCCTCCCCCTCCCCCTCCCCCTCCTCCTCCTCCTCCTCCTCCTCTTTCTCCTCCTCCTCCTCCTCCCCCTCCCCCTCCCCCTCCTGCTCCTCCTCTTTCTCCTCCTCCTCCTCCTCCTCCTCCTCCTCCTCCTCCTTTTCCTCCTCCCCAGAGGGCTGAGGGCTGCTCGCCAGGTCAAGGAGCGGAGGACGCCGTAGAATCGGAAACTGTAGCAGACACACTACCAGTGGCGGGCTGTTGTTCAATCCCAGGGCCTTTCAAGGGTCGGGGGGCGACTTCGGGGTGGTGAGGTGTATGCTTGTTTCCTTATTTTCCCGGGGGAGCAATGGGAAAACGTATGCACCAGGATCCGGTACACACACCAGGATCCGCTGTCTTGGGCACGTGTCAGCGCATGGCAGGAAAAATCCGCGGTGTATATAGCTCGGTTCCCTAGTAGAAGGCACCTTTTCAACATGCGACCAGCTGATCTGCAACGCTACAACAAACCCAACCGAAAACGCGACAGACATGAATTGCTGCTTTGGCGTAATTCGTTTTCTTGTTGTTTAGCACGCCGGGTTAGAACGCTTAGATGAAAAAAACATGCCCTGGGCGTATCTAAGAATAACCAGCCCATGGCGTCTCCCCCAGCCCAGAGTCCGGTGTTTGGTCATGCATTATATGCGGGTGGATCCGCTCTGGCTTTCTCTCTGTGTGCTATCCTGTTTGGCGCCTGCCGCCTGTTGCGCGCTCTTTTAGAGGCCGCAGTGGTGTCCAGCGTTGTCCAGCCCAGTGCGTTGTTGATTCCTGCCATTGGCGTTCTTGCTATTTGCCCCTTCGGACTCTCACCCGTTTTCTCGTTGCTTCGTTTTCTCGACCTCCTGGGGTCCCAGGTTGGGGTGCAGATTTTCTCTGTTGACCTTTACGCTGTCTCATGGCAGTGGCCCAAATGATATGTCTCCAGGTCCACAGCGCCGCCCGCCCGAGCCAGCCATATCGGCACCGAGCACGCCCAGCGCGAAACCGTCGCAGAGCAAGAGCCCTGTCTTTTTCTTCCTCTGTGTCCCTGCGCCCTCTTCACCCCGGGCGATGCCAGGCGCAGCCCCGCTTCCGCCCCACCCCTGCTTGTGCCGCGTGCCCTGCCTGGCGGCGGAGGTGGCAACGCTGGGTTCGCAAAGCCATGGCCTCTTGCTCAAGCCCAGTGTCAGTGACAATGCGTCCTGCGCGCCTCTTCCACCCTTTCCACCAGCCCCATTTACAGACCTGGCAACCTCCCCGCCATCGTTTGCTCTTGTTCATGCCGCAGTTGTTCCTCCTTACCCCCTTGTCTTCCTCCCCGCCCCAGTGTCCTTTCCCCTTTTCCCCCCCCCACCCCCCCCGCCCCTCGCCCTTGTTCCACCCACTCTTCCCAACCGCCTCGCAACCACGCCTTTCTCCCCCGTCCCCTCCTTTCACCGCCCCTCCTCCTCTTCCTGCCGTCAGAATCTCTCCTGTTCGCAGTGCTTCTCCGCCGCCCTCCTCGTTCTGCCCGTGTTGGTCCCAGGAGCTCGTGGACGAGGCCACGGCGGACGGCTATAGACTCCGCCCCGTGTACCACCACCAGAAGATTGGCCATAGCCTCTGCAGCCGTGTCAGCGTTAGATCGGCAGAAGCCTACGGCGTGATGTGTGTTCGGGTGGGTGAATGATATTGGTTTTCCCCCACTTGTGCCCGCCTAGCGCAGCCTTCACCCATCTGCTCTGCACGCGACTCGCCCTGCGTTGTCCAGCCATGTGCTTGGGATTCAAGCTAAGCCTGGCCCGCCGTAGCCGGTCGCTGCAATGACGCCGCTGGGCCGCCAGATGAACGAATGTTCGTGCTCGCCGTGGTCGAATTTAGGACACGTAGTTTTGTTGTGGACGGGGGAGGGGCTGGAAGCGTCGTGTCATGACAGCCTCTAGTCGACCAACTTGAGAGACCATTTGGCGATTCACTTGACCACCTTCCTGTTGGGGCACTGAATCGTGCCCCCGTGTGGGTTCCCAGATTGGTCTCCGAGCATGTCGTCGTGTGTGTTCCCGAATTTTCTATCCGTGCGGGTTGCCGAAGGCGCGTCCTCCAGCTGTTCGGTATCGCTTCGGACCAGCTCGGGGACTCTCTCGGCGGTCCGCCTGGAGGCAGGTTTGGAGCGCGCTCCCAGACCCGCTCGAAGCTTCTTGAGAGCCAGCCGGGAGAGAACGGTTAAGCGGGTCTTCGAGTGGGGCCAGAGGCGTTTGAAGGCGCCCAAAGAGTGAAGAGCAGTCTACGCATGTGTTCTTCAGAACCGTCGCGTCGGGTGCTGTTGAGGGGCTGCAGCCTGGGCGGTTCCGCAGCTTGATTGACGACTCATTGGTAGATCGATATTCCACCGCCCCCACCTCGCCTCCGCCTGAGCTTGCCCGTGACTCGAGATGTGCCCAGCTTGCTGCTGCCACCTCTCACCGAAACGACAAATTTCATGGCGCCAGCATCGCAGAGCGAATTACGTTCGGAGAACAATGGGATGGACCCGGATTGTCCTGGAGAATTCCGGTCCGGATTTCGAAGCGGAATGAAGATCGCAGCACATCCGCGCGGAATCCACTTCGGTTTTCGCTCGCCGATTCGTGGGTCTTGCACTGACCGAAGTCCATGCAAGACTCCGCTGCAGCACGTCTGCAAGGCCGGTGCAGTGACACGGTCGCCCTCGAGGGCGCGAAGTTATTCGCGCTTCGCGCTTCGCTGTTCGGCTCCGATTCCTCCTTGTCCTCCTCTTCTCCCCTGGGAGGCGGCGCGAGAGCGCGAAGTTATTTGCACTTTGCGCTCTCGCGCAGCGCAAAGCGCGAAGTTGGGAGCCCTTGCAGTGGCACATTTTGTGCCTGCTCCGCCCCCTTGGGTGCCCACCCATGCTGCCTCTGCGAGCTGGGGCTCTTTCGCCGAGGCTTCGTGGTCTCCGACTTCAACGCCAAGACTCGCATCTGCCTGGCCGAGTATCCGCGCGGCTGGCGCCAGCACTTGGACGGCAGGGAGGAGGAGGAGGAGGAGGAGGAGGAGGAGGAGGAGGAGGAGGAGGAGGAGGAGGAGGAGGAGGAGGAGGAGGCGGAGAAGGAGGCTCCTCATAGGAGGAAAAGGTACGCATACCGCTGCTCCTCGCCCGTTTTCCCATTTTTCGGTCTGTTGGGAGGCCCTCGTCGCCACCGCTGGATTCGCCACGAAATCCTAGTCAGAACGCTCTCTGGTAGAGGTCCGGGGAGTAGCGGTAACGGTGCCTATTGGCGTCCCCAGTTCACAGTTCTTTTGGCGGTGGACGCTTCAGCCAAGGGGCCCCAGCACTTGATGGTGGCGGTTCGTCGCACGCAGAAGAAGGCCAACAGTTGCATAAACATACACAGGGGTGGTCTAGGATGAGGACACATCGCCCCAGGGTGTTCGGACGGCTCAGAGCGTCCTGGAGCGGCTTGAAACGGCCACAGGATCGGCAAGTGAGCCAAGGCGCCGGGCGGGAAAGCCCAGTGCATTGACCCTCCAGCATCCCACAGCTGAGGAAGCTGGGGCGCCTGCACACCGAGCTCGTTGACTGACCAGACGGTCGGATTCGGGCGGGTCCAGGACCAGGATGAGGCGCTCCAGAGCGCCCGGCACGTCCCCCAAGCCCGCCAGTTCTTAGAGTTCCCTATTCATCCTCATCCGAAGTCTCGTTATCTTGCTTGCTTCTTAATAAGCGTTCGGAGGTCCTCGCGGATTTCTTGTGTCGACCGGGCGGGCGACGCGCCGCTTGGTCGACAGATGAGCCGAGGGGCTCGGCGAAGCAGCGCTACGCATAGACGCTCCAGCGTCCCACAGCTTGGGAAGTTGGGGCGTCTAAACACCCGGCTTCTTGTCTGACCAGATGGCTTGGTTCCGAGGCGGGGATTTATTCCATAACCGCCGCTGGGGGGGATCGATCTTCAGGCAACTCGGCAACGGGTGGATATGGACATCTTCGGGGCCATTGGGGCCAAAATATGTAGCACCCTGCAGTTGCGGGTGAGAGTGAGGGGGCGGGCGCGGGGTGGGTCGCGGAGTGGGTCGCGGGTGGGTCGTGGGGTGGGTCGCGGGTGGGTTGCAGTTGGGTCGCGGGCGAGTCGTGGGTGGATCGTGGGGTGGGTCGCGGTTGGGTTGCGGATGGGTCGCGGGTGGGTCGCGTGTGGGTCGGGGTTGGTCGCGCGGAGTCGCGGGAGGTCGCTGGTGGGTCGTGGGTTGCGGGCGGGTCGCGGGCGGGTCGCGGGATTGGTCGTTGGTGGGTCGCGTGTGTGTCGCGGGTGGGTCGCGTGGTGGGTCGCAGGTAGGTCGGGGGGTAGGTCGCGGGTGGGTCGCGGGTGGGTCGCGGGTGGGTCGCGGGCCGGCTCGCGGGCGGGACGACCACAATAACGGGCTCCGAGAGTCTCCAGCCCCTGTGGGCGCGCGCGGGCACGGGATGATGGGCTCAGGGGAGGGGCGCCGACCCCCAATCGCTGGCTGATCACCGAAAGGGGCCCGGAATCGCGAACACTGAGTAGTTCAGTTGAGTAGTTCAGTTCAGTTCAGTTGACAGGTCCGCACATGGTGCCTGTGCACAGTGCGGAATCTGTCAGCAAGGCCCTTGGTCCCGCTGCCATGCGTCGCGGCCGTAGGCGGGTTCGAGTCTGTCTACGAGCGAGGGTGTGCCCACCCGCGGTGTCTTTTTTGTTCGCTGCTCATGCCCAGCAGGTCTGCGACCAGTCTGGTCTGAACTCTGTGAGTGGTTTCCCCCTTTTCACTGTACTTTCCTTTTTTTGGGCCGCATGAGCAGGCCACCTGTATTTTGCCAGCCGGGTTGCTTATGATTTCCTTTCACATGCCTCTATCAGCACCCTTCGCCTTTCATCGTGGCCAGAAGTCCGTGGCCATCGTATCCAAGGCATTGTGGGCTCTGTGATTGTGTGGGGTGTGCCAAGGCCACATCACGAGCAATGGTATGCCCGCATGCGGTGGCCATCGCCCAGCAGCTTACCTTGCCTGAGCGTTTGTTCTGCATACCATGTGCTCTACCTGGTAGCCCTGCTCTGCCTGACCCTCTTTTGATTACTCTTTAAGATTGCCGTTGATTTTTGGACCGCTTGCTGGCCTGTGTCTAGTCTTTTACATAGGTCGCTGGCTAGCTCTACGCCAATATTTCTTTGCCTAAGCCTGCCCTGGAGTGGTTGAGGACACCCTCCGCCGCAATTTGAGGATTTCTTGCCAATGCCACCGGGCCGCACACGTCGCACACTCCTATGCTTTAGAACTTCACTGGTCGTGTGTGCACGAGCAGGGTCGTGCAGCCCAGCCGCGTACTTATTGAGATGTGCCCTCCTTCCCCACGGCGGCGTCGAACGAGCCCCCGCCCCACACCAGGGGCAGCCTCCTTAACCGCGTGAGGTTAGCCGGAGCTGGAGAGACTTTCTGGCCCTCTTGGCCATGCTTGCTTTTCCTTCCCGATGCCGGAACAACTACATACGCTTCCTGCGCTATAGTCCAAGAGAGAAGCGCGGACCTCCGAGAGTATGTGCCGATGATCCTCATGAATCGTGTCAACCCAATGCGCGCTTACGCCGTGCCAACCCGCCGATGGCATGCAGCCCAGCCGAGGCCACCATGGCCCAGGGTTTCCTGCCTTTTCTTTTTCGAGATCTGCTTGCCTCTATGGAAGGAGCGTTCTCAGAGGTTCACTGTGTCCACAGTCCGCTTCGTCCCTGGGCGATTCGACAGGCACAGCGAGTCAGCACCCGCGAGCGCACTCCGCTGGATTCGGTTATGCGATTCCGCAGGCTGTCCCTGGCACCAGACATCGTCTCCTCCCCTTCCCTTTCTCGAGCCGGACGAAAGTTATGCGACGACAGCGCAAGAAACAGTCAAGCCGATGTTCGCCGAGACCGAGAGGTGGGTTTCAGGCATCTACCTTTACCATCCGCCCGCCATATCGATTCCTTCCCTGGCCACTCCGACGCTGTGCCCCTCAAGGGAGAATTCTGGGGTCTTCGCGTAACCCCACCAGCTTTCAGCTTCATAACCCCCACCGACACGATCCCGTCTGCCAACCTGCGGCCGGCAGACCTGTACCGACTTGGCGGGAGGGTCAACCCGTGGCTCAGCATATGGACTGCGGGAGGGCGCGTCCCGCCTCCCCCCTCGCAAAAGCGCAGAGGGGCCGCCTCCCCCCCACCTGTGCGACAGGCCGGTCGGATCCGGCAGGGCGTCGTCGCAGGACCCCACCGAGCGGGGCGGGTCGCTAAGGGGGGAGGACCCCGGTTGGACCAGCAGCCGCCACCCGCTCCCCGCGCTGACGTCCCCAGACCCCCCAGCTGATACCGCGGCCAAGGCCATCGTTCAGATGTTCTCCGTGCCAGCGGAACGCCCTGGAGCCCAGTTCCGTCTGCATGTCCCCCTGGGGAAAGTCTCAGGAGGAGTGAACCTGCCAAAGTGCTGGGAGCAGGACCTACGACAGAGGGGGATCATTCTGACCAGACTGGCATGGACGGAGACCATGGCCCCCACAGAGACGACATGGGACGGATCAGTAAAAGCCAGAACAGATCTGGCACGCAACAGGAGCTGCGCCGTGGAGGTGGCAGTAACCCCCACACACGAGCAGTCGGTCTGCCACACACTCGATAAATACAAGCTTCGCCAGGCGTTCCCCCCCCAGGACGGGAAGACACTCCTACACCTGCAATGGCCCAGTGAATTCCGGCTGTCGCTCAAGGGAATGGACGGCGTACAGGACTCACAATTTCGGGCGCTGTTCCTCAGCCTCACCAGTCCCGCAGAGGACCAGGTCGCCTCCCTCAGGCTTGTGTGGCCCCCGGAATTTGGTGGCCACATCCCCAGCAACGAGTGCGTCGTAATGGATCTCTGGGAAGGCACAAGGTATCCCACCAACCAGGCCCTGGTATGGTGCGACTCCAAGGAGGCAGAGGAGCTACTGGCTCTCGGCAAGGAACCAAGTGCAGGCAGCAAGGAAGAAGTCCTGTTCCGACTTGACAGAGCGCCATCGAGGCTGCAGTATTGGAGAATCAACCAGGCCATCAGCGAGATCTACAAGCTGCAACAGGCACCAGACGAATTGGTGGGCTCTCCACTGGACGTGATAACGTTATACCTCAATCTGCGGACCCCCCAACAGAGTGACAGGCTAAGGGCCAACGAAGTGGAGAATACGAGGGCGTGCAGCACTTCCCTCCTGGCAAGGGCAAGGGCCACCATTGAGAGCAGAGGGCAGAGCCTACCGGGCGTAACGGCGGTGGAAGAGACGAGGCTGCAGCAGCACAGCAAGGCGCAAGCGGTCACATCGTTCACGGACGATGAGGTTGATGGATCAATCGGGCAGGTCCTCCAGCGAGTGCGCAACCTTCCCCCCGCCGACAGCCTCAACGAGGCCGCCAGACGACACCGTCTGAACGGCAACGCGGCCAAAGCACTGACCGCCACCATCCTTCACCACGTGACGATTGTGCATGGACCCCCAGGGACTGGCAAGACTCTGTTCACAGTGGCCACCATGGACGCATTGGCTAGTTCACTTCCCGCGAGGCAGTCGGTGGCCCTCACAGCTGGATCGAATACGGCAGCCGATCAGTCCGCTATTTGGCTCGGGGTTGCGCACAAGGAGAACAGGCTGGCTGGTGAGACTGGCTTTCCCAACAGGTGTGTCAGGCTTGTAAAGGACGCCAGAGTGGCGCCGGAGATTGCGTCCTTGACCCCAGTGGGGCACTTTCAGAGGACCCATGACCGCCCGCCCAAGCAGAACGGACCATCCAAGGAGCTCCAGTCCTTCCGCTCTCAGCTACTAAGCGACGCCAAGCTGGTTATCGCTACCCACGAGGCGGCTGAGTCGCTCAAGCTGGTGCCAACAGCTTTGCTCATCATCGACGAGGCGGGACAGGCCCACGAACTCATGGCGGCAATGTCCCTCGTCATGTCATACGGTCAGGAGGGCGCCTACTACTGGTTGGTGACCCCAGG